ATGTATTCATCCTCTGTTTACAGACTTTAAATAAGCTTATGACCTACTGAAATTGTGGCAGAAGTGCACAGTGCAATGGCTTCTTTAAGCTTGCTCATTTTGCTTTGCACACCTGCACCCCTGATTTGTGGAGGGGCCCTGGTGGTCCCACCGCTTGCTGCTGATTGGCTTGGAGGCAAATACTGCAGTTTTAAATATGCCGTGGGTTTTGCCTCCTAGCTGCAAGTGGTGGGGCTGCCGGGGCCTGTTAGCCAATCAGTGGTGGATGACAAAAATGGGGAGGCGCACAGAGAAACGAGCAAAATTAAAGGAACCACTGCACAGCTCACTTCCACGGCAAGTTTTGGTAGGTCCCTACTTATGATAGTATGCATAAATGGAGGCTTTGGAAGATAATGGTAGAATCTGGATTCCCTAAGAAGCTCATAAAAGTGATTAGGGTATGTACTAAAGACATGAAAGGGAGAGTTAAAGTGGATGGAAGCTTCTCTGATACCTTCAAAATGGCAATGGGCCTGACATGAGGTGATGAACTTTTCCACTATTGGTCAATCTGGCATGGGAACTAGTTGTCAGATTGGTGGCTGAAATCATAGAAGGGGTTCTACTCGGGAGATTGCACAATAATCTTTGCGTATACAAATGATTTGGACATCATATGCAACAACACCGTAGAATGTATTAGAATGTATGAAATTTTAAAATGTACAGCCAAGAGAGTAAGGCTTATAGTGAATGGTGAGAAGGCCAAATATATGGCAATCATTTGCAAGAACATAACTGAAACAGCAAAACAAAACTTTTGTATAGGAAACCATAGCTTCCAGAGTGTCCAAGAATTCAAGTATTTTGGATCATTGTTGAGTGACATCAATAAGATGAGCAGGGAAAATATTTCAAGGATCTCAAGTGAGAATAAAATAGCTATAATAGACTTCTCTGGTCCAAGATACTGTCTAGAAGGACATTGAAGTTATAGCACATAGGCTATTTGCAGATGTTAACCTGCCCCCACCCCGCAAAAACCTGTGCTTTACTGGAAGAAGCAGAACATTACTTTGAGCTGGCACTGCAGTGTCTGTATATATTGGGTGCTTCAGCAGGGCTCTTTGGGACTTTTATCTAAAGCTGAGTCAATCAGCTATTTGATAAAATCACCAAAAAAGTCCCACTGAAGCGCCTGATTCATACAGATGTCAGGCAAGCTGGGTCCAACACACTGCTTCTTTTGGGCATGTGCTGGCTCAGTGTGGGAGTGCATGGAGTTTCAAGTAAAGGGCCTTTTTTTCCTAATGTCTGCAAACAGCCATAATTATTAGACCTGTAGTGATATATGGCAGTTAGACTTGGTGCATGATGCTGAAAGACCATCAAAAACTGATTTGTTTTGAAAATAAAAAATTTTAGGAAGATAGTTAGCTGGACCAGTGAAAGACCTAGCAAGGGGGAAATGGAGGCAGCGAAGTAATGAAGAATTATGAAATGCCATGGAATTGCCTGTCTTTATAAGTCTGGTGTATGCACAGTAATTAGTGTGGATTAGCGTGTCTCACATGATTTAAAAATCAAAGGTATGTCTTATTCTCAGCTTAGTTCCTGGTTGCGGTAATAGCCGACTATTGTGGAATATGACTCTTCATCTGCACCCACATTTGCTAATGAAAGGTTGCCCGCTTGTATAACAATACACAAGTACAACTGAGTACACTTGAAATGAAGAGATAGAGCCATTGGGAAAGGCTCCCAAAGCAGACTCCCATCCCCACTATGTCAGACTGACTTGAAAGGAAAACACAGATTTTCCTCATTTGTCTGGACAAGCCCATCTATCATGGACTTACAAGACAATGAATGGCCTTTTTTATTGCAAGTCACTTAATCAATGTTTCTAAAACAAAACTAATGTGAACAAATTCTTCTCTTTGACTTTGCCCCTTTGACTAGTGATACTAATGAAATGCTAAGCCTAGATTCTGTGCTGTGGTGTGCCTGCTTTGGCCTGCACTGCTAGTACAAAATGGTCTTCAGCCAACAAATAAGTCATAGGAGGTTCATTATTGGCAAAATGGACTTTTCAGTGGCATTGTTAGTATTCCAGCTTCCATACTACCCATTGCTCCCTACTGTTGGCACAGGGGCTGTGAATGGAGCAAGTAAAAAAGAAAACAGTCAAAAAAGAGAATTAAAAATCTGCTGAGGGAAACCTTTAAAGCCTGCTGATTCATTTGTGAAAGGCCTAATACAGCATTCTTTTCTTTGACAGACCGCATACACTGCAATTTCTGAGAACAGTATTACTTAAATGCTAACTTCTGCTTACCTGGTCCTGCAACATAAGATCTCTCATTTGTGTGATGTATGGAAGAATTTGTTGTTACCCTGATCGATAATTATTGATTTGGTAGGACCCTTCTGCTTATTGCAATCAAATATCTTTTTATTTTTCAGTTCAATAGCCAATGATGTTGTTATGGAGAGTACTGGTAACAAACTGATGCAATATATGTCAGTAAAGGCTACAATTTAATAACTAATGGTGACTAGGGGAAAACATATGTGCTAAACACAGTGTTACAGCTCTGTTAATCAAGCGTATTGTATTGGATGTATCTCTATAGGTTGGTGCAATTGTATGCACACCAGTTAATAGTTTCTGCTGTTATCAGTCTTATTCTTAATAATTTTATCATTAAACAACCAAGTTATCTGGGGGTGAATTCTGCCTGCCCCTCTTAGAAGTGTCCATTGGATATCATTAACTTTTCTCCCTCATTGGCTTGTGTAGATACCAGATAGATTTCTAGAGCTTGCATTCAAGGAACCACATGGACTATGCCTTCACAACCCTGCTGGGGACATAATCGACCCCAGAAAAGGCAGGTGAGATGGTATGGAGCAATGGCAGAACCCAATAGCAGAACAGCAAGAGAGTGTGTAGCAGTGAGTTCTGAATGCCTGCTGATATTGCTGCACAATTCACTCTAGAGGGTGAAACGTTAACAGTTTAGCTCCCTCCACATTTCAACAAAAGTATTAGAATTAATCTGTATGTAACCTATGAGATTATTTGTTTTTTCAAAGGAAATCACAGTGATATTGCTAGATTTTTACTGTTCCAGCTCCTTGTAATATGACAGCAATGCCTGTATTTTCTGTAAAACTGTGTAACTATAATGGTAAGCCATACAACTGTGCACTCTTAGTCTATCACCTATAGGTAAATATTCAGGAAACCATACCTAGGTATATGGTGCCCTTAGGGGAAAGCACAACAATTATGAAATATATCTTATCCATTTCAGGTGATCTAAGACCACAGTTGCCTTCATAGTGGGAACAAGCAGCATAATTAGATGATATTGATATATTAATTTACATGGTTTTTCCCTAATCCTTATCCAATTTCTCATTTGAGTGGATGATAAACCTTTATTAATATGATAATTTATAATTATGGCAAAGATTAAATAATAATGCCATTGCCAAGTACATTGTCTATTCTGCATGGATTTAAACAAGTGATGTCAGCAAACCACAAACTAACTTCTTTCAGAAATTACATGCATTGTGTATGGTAGAAGATTGACTGAAGAGTAATGGAATATGGAGCCATGTCATTTATATGACACTGGTACAAAAAACAACCTGGGCTAGTAGAGCTATCTGATGGCTGTCCAGCAGGACATCTGAAACAAGCAGGTGATTTCAATTAAATTCCTACAGTTTTCCATGTTTCACATAAATGCCCAATATTATCTTAGCCAGAAATCACTGACATCCATGATGGCAGTCTCAGGGGAATAGTGAATAACTAAGTAGAAATAAAGATCAAACTATATCTATCTGAAAGTTAATAGCACATGGCCACCATCACTGCAGTAAGTAAATATTCATAAACATTAATGCAATATTCCTTGCAACATTCATATGAAGCTAAGTGTAAATATTCCCATTGCACAGATTTGGAACCAAGGCCTAAAGAGATTGACTTGCACAAGGTCACTGAGTAAATCTATGGAAATTCCAGTCCATTGTATGAACTACAGAACCATAATCTTACTTCTGCCAAGTGTAGCTTTAGGTACATAGATAGGGTTATAATAGAAAGGCCTGCATTGCTACATTACTCTGTGCCACACCACGCCAAAATCCACTTGAAAGAGAAATAAACATAAGGAAGCACTGCAAATCAGCAAACATCATAGCTTGGTTATGGCAAGGATTTAATTATGAGAACATAATGCCTCCTATGCTTTGGAATCTATGCTGCAAAAAGGTCTGCTTTAAATAAATTTCATGCATGTTACCAGGTATTTTACCTCATGCTGAAATAGTCACTGTACATTTTAACACTAGAAAAATCATAAACCATGTCAAGTTAAGGGTTTAAAACTAATGGTTTTTTGTGGAAGAGGTAAGTTTTTCTGTCTTCTCAACATTCAACTAAAATAGCTATAAAGCTGAAGATATTACACAGATTATTCTGAATTAAGAAACAGGACTTGGGTATATTTGTTTTCTTCTGATATTTTGCTGAAGTTTAAGTGTACTGCAAATTTTTAAGAGAATTTACTTTTTTTACTTGTATATAGGAAATGATTTCATTTTGGTCCTAATATCAGTAAAACAGTACAGGATGATAGAAAATGGCTGCCTGTGGGGAAAGAAAAATATAGCTACCAGCTTTCTACCTCTGCAAGATAATTCACCTTCATATTGACATCATCTGAGATTCTTGATTCCTTTAAGCACTGCCATACTTTTTAATATTATCCTCTAAGGGTATTATTTGAATGAAGTGGGTTTCTACAAAAATATAGCATTTTTTATTAAAACCACATAAGTTACACTGTCCTGTATTAATGGTTTCACATTCTTTAGCAATTAGCATACACTTGTGTTTTGGGTTATTACTGGGAAATACAATACCATTCTTGTTATCATGAAAGAAACCCTTAATTTTGATGTGGATCTAGCAGGATAACATGAAAATAACTTACTTTTTGTAACGACTCCTTCAAGACGAATAATATTTGGGTGGTCAAATTGTCCCATGATACTGGCCTCCCTCAGAAAATCTCTTCTCTGCCTGTCCACATAACCACCTTTCAAAGTTTTAATGGCAACAGGAATCTCCCTTTTTCCTGGTGTCTTCAGGCGCCCACTGCATACTTCTCCAAATTCACCTGCAAAGAACAAGAGTAAACAGTCTGTTATGAAATAATTTTTATTTTCTAGAGAACTGTACATCCATACTGACCCTGCTCTTTAAATTAAATGCTCATCAAGCTTTTTTCTTTGTGATAAAAGTAATTTTGAAAAAAATTACAAATATGGCTTTCATAATAGTCTACTATAATCAGTGGAATGAGAACACTGATGTATCTCAAAAATATATATATCTCTTGAGTTTTAGTATAGCTTTGTCATTGTGAAATAATGGATGAGAGAGTGAAATTCATGAATTATCAAAAGCTAGTATGCACAGAATACCTATCACAATTTCAGAGGAAGTATAGTCACTTGAAATATATTTCAATACTAATCAATAAGTATAGGAGCAGGACTTATACTCTTACTCTCATCATACAACCTGCATAATGTAGTTGGTTTTTACTGATTTATGAAGACACTGAACTTAGGTTATGCTGTGCTGCTGGGCTTGCCATGAGGAATTAGCACTAGTAATGGTTAGATTTTAATAATGTTGATAATGAAATAGGGACACTGTGCAGCAAGGCCTTGGAATACTGCACTTGGTAGAATTAATAAAAAGATGTAAAAAAAATCACTAAAAGTCATGCTATGAGAATGTAAGGGTTGCATAATTAAACATTCAGTATTTCTGAAACTGCAAAGGTAAGATTGCACCTCTTAACTTTACTCCAAACATATACATTGCAATACAGACTTTAATTTCAGGTTCACATACAGTTTTCAAAATAACATGTGTAATCCTGTAATATGTTTTCCATTCTTTTTCTTTTTACCCTAATTTCATTCTCACAAGAGTCATTTAGTATTTATTTTCATAATTCTGTCATCACCTAGGTACTGCATAATCTCTTTTCAGTCATCAGCACTATGTTCATTAAGTGCACTTTACTGAATGTTAACTATGTAGCTAACTGTGATCCAAATAGATGAGGACTATATTCAGCAGCAAACTATCACTATTTATCTTTATTGGACTTAGCCTATAACAATGCTGTTTTCATACTGTTTGCTATGCATTTTTCGATCATTTTCATGAACTCTGGCATAAAATAACCTGAAAGAGAATTACACAGTTCTAAAAATGTTTCACTTATATAGTTCTAGAGAAAAAAAAAATTATGTAAGAGAAGCCTTCTGTTTTTGTGTAGAATGGACTATGAAGCATATGTGCATTGCACCAGAATTAAGAGCGACTGTGCAAACCAAGCTCTAGTGTTTTGTTTTACTCAAATGTTCATTACACAGATCATTTGGTTAGACCAAAACACCCTGCGATATCTTGAGATTCTTTCAAGGGTGCTGCAGGGTGCCATGCAATGGTAGAACTGTTAGGTGTGCAAACACAGTTCACAAGACAAAACCAGATTTTTCAAACAGGAATCCATAATGTTAAAAACCTTCTGATCTGCTGTGGTCTTTCTGAGTGTTTTGCCATTCAAGAACAACTCTTATTTTTCCATAGCCAAAAAAAGCAAAAATTAAGAACTGACATTTTCTGAGAGGTGTCTTGAGTCAAACAAGTCTTGAGTCTAATGAGGGGTGAGAAGCATAAAACCATTGAGATCCACTAGACTAGACACTACCAGAATCCTCTAGCCCAATCACCTAATTGGTCCTTCAGATTCAGAAAAAGAATACTTAAGCATAATCATCCTCTATTCAGCAAAGCACTAATGCATGTGACTGATTGAAATGGAACCTAAGTACACATATAACTTTTTTGTATGTTAGATTCAACATGCATAATACAAATCTAGCTAAGGGTGCATATGTGACTTAGCTAAGGGTGTATGCAAGTCATAGCTGTCCTTTAGTAACATCTTAATGTTACTAAAGAGTGCCACAAAATCCTTACCAAATGTATTGTAGATGTTTGAGGCAATTTTTCAAAGTGCCATGATTCAGCTAACAAAAAATATCTTGCAAAAACATTTCAAAATACTTCCTAGAGGGCACGTATACACATGCTAAAAAGTGCAGTAGACTAATTCTACTGCACATTAATGCATCACGGTGAAAGCCATGCTAATGCCAGTATTGTCAACTTGCATGATTTTTGGTGTTGTTCTTAAAGTCTACACTTTGGGAATGTGAAAAAATGTAGCTCTTTCTTTTATATATATATTTATATAAAATAAATAAAAAACAAAATAAATAAATAAATATAAAAGAGCTATATTTTTTCACATTCTCAAAACGTAGACTTTAAGAACTATGCCAAAAATCAGGAGAGTTGGCAACACTGTAATGCACTAATGTGCAATAGGTTTAGTCTACTGCACCTCAATGTCACGTAAAAGACGTGCTGGTGCTACTGCGCAGTAGTGCCAATTACAGCTCATTAAGTTAGTGCCTGTTGTTACAGGTACTAAACTTAATGTACCATAATTATGGCACATTAATGCACATGTAGATGTGCCCAGAGAGGTACTTCCATGTCAAATTTTAATTTTCTACCCCATCTATTTTGCTATCCATGTGGTTACACAATATCTAATATATATAGGTACATGCATGCATTTAACTAGGGGAAGTACTTTATAAAATATTGCCTGAATTCCTTTTCTCATATTAAAAACAAAGTCTTTAAGTAGATGCTAAACATAGAAAACTTCAACCTAAAAAAGAAAGGTAAGACAACCTTTCTGATTGATATCAAAGTTATAATGAAAATAGTTGTGCAATCTTTATGATTTTAGTCATTGTCACTTCTGCTACTGAAGAAAACCAATATTCATGATAGGAAAAATAAGTTCATATCTTGCTTGTCATGTCAAGATATAGCTATAACACTGGTACAGTTAATAAAGCTTGAGCATAATCCTTGAATTATTTATCAGAATCTTTACTAGCTAGCCAACAACTGGCAAATTCAGATAATAATAGTAAAAAAAAATTCTTTGAAAGGCAGCCATCATGGGATAAAAATGGGATGCTCTATGGAAAAAGGGGACCAACCTAGGTGAGTCTGCTATATCTTTTGATTGTTTTTGTTTCTGCCTGAAGCTCTACTCACCTGATTATTGCCATAAACAAGGTGCAGTGGCTGATTTAAACTTCCAGAATCTTAGATTCCAGCCTCTTTGTTTTGAAGGAGAAATGGAAGGGCCCTCTTCTGCTCTGTGATGCATTCAGAACAATTAAATCACATTAGAACTTATCCTCAGAGTGTCTCTGTGCATCTTGATGGCTCTTCTAAGTGAAACAGCCTGAAATTAAAGAGAATCCTCCAAGTCCTCCTTCTTGATAAAGAAGCTGGTAGCAGGTCAGAATAATATAACTCTAAGGTCAAGAGGTTCTGTTCCGTTGGTGAAATCTGCAGAGTCGAACTGCTTCATCTTTGGGAATCATGTGGATTACATAAATTAAACTACTGAGGTTATTTTGTCCACTCTCTGGCTAATACAGTATTGTCCCTTTCAGTACATTGCTTAGAAAGCCTGGCAGCATGATTGCCTGTTAGCAGGTGTTGTTCTCACTAGGAAAGATTTAAGTACGTTCTGAATCAGTGAAGTAGGAGGCTGATAAAAGAGATGCTAGTGTCTCTTGAGAGAGAAAATCTAGGATGCTGCTTGAACAGTCCTGAGGGAGCCACCCTCAGAGCAGCCAAGCTTGGGGAGAAGGCTCAAGCTGAATTTTGTTATCCTAACAGTAATTTATTTGCTAATAAAACCAAACTCCAGGAAGGGAGTTAGTAAGACTCTACACAAGAGGCAGATTTTGTTGTACAACTCACATGTGCTGTTGTGAATTAGACCTTAAACCTCTCTACAAAAGAGGAATCAGAAAGGGGATAAAAGGAAGCAATTCTTTCAGTGAAACAGCAGCACCAGGTCTCAGCTGAACAACTTCACCTGGTCTGGTTGCCGTTTATGAAGGGATGGCAGTCACCATTTCTGAAGCATCTGTTCCATAGGTGTGCTCCTGCTGGAACACCACCCTGGCTTGGAGAGAAAGAGAGAACCTGCCCTTGTCATTGGCGCATGCAGTGTTTTACAGTCAGTACTGTTTACTGGGACACTGCACGATACTCTCTACCCTACCCAGTGCACTGGCTCTTCTCCCTAGGACAGTGCAGATCCACAGAGACTATACAAACAATCCTTATACACAAAGACTACTACTGTGATCTGCTCCCACTATACCAACAAATGGATGGGTAGTGCATATGCTTCCCATCTGGACATGCATAATCTAGCAGTCAGTAATAGAGAAAAAATATTTATTAGCTGTCACTTGGATGACTTCATATGCCATATTAAACACAAGAAGGTGTTTTTCTTCATGTGAAATTTGGTATGACATTACCAAGTTGTTACCACATCCAGTTCAGCCTAACTAAAGTTGGCTATGTTAAATAACTTGCTGAATCACTCCACACATCTCTCAGCATGCAGCACCAACTCTCCTGTGCAGAGGACAAATTTGAATCCTTTTCTTCCAAGCTGCACAATCTGGTCAGATATGTAGATAGCATAATTTCACTTGGATCAAATGTACTTCAGGAAGACAGAGCCAATATTCCAAGATGCCAGATTTTTCATTTGCTTTGTGCCGAGCAGAAAACACGTATGCATTTTCACAACACACAAAAATCACAAGGCTCAAAATAAATAACATTTCATGCCGTAGGGAAAAGTAGTAGAAATTCCAGATCACTGAGCATTTACAAATGAATTTAGTGTGATAGTGTCTAGTGAACAGCACAAGACACCAAGATTTCCTACCTGCAGAACATCTAAAGCATTAAAAGAAATACTTAAAAGCTTCTTTCCTCTGAACAATATCTTTGTATCATTCTGGATGTGCTATCTCTACAAGCAAAAGAGGCTTTCATTTTCTACAGTCATTTAATCCTTTGTGTATTTGATGAGACTGCTAATATGGGTTCCATCTGTGATCTTTTTTGTGATGCGGGTACCAGTTAAGCAGGCCATTGATAGGAGATCAATTCATAGTCTAGATGGTT